GTCACCCACACAAACTTCAAATTTCGATTCATCGCTAAAAATGATCTTTTTCCAAACTTCGTAAGTCCACATTGCCCGTTTCTTAGCCCACGCTAATCGCCTTTTCTTTTGTTTTTCTGTAAGCAACGGCTTTTCTTTTGCCTAAAGCAAAGATTTTACTGAATATATGCCATATATCCCTTAAATGCAACCTACCTACCTTATAAAAATGTAAACCAGACTTCAGTGGCGAAGCGTCCATGTAACCATTGTTACCATTGGTAACAGTTAAAAATCTTAAAAATAAATATTTTATGACTAAGTACTGTGAAATAATTTCATTTATTTGCTTACCAACAGCAATATGTAATAATAATTCAGTAAATAGCAAATTAATGCGCCCTATACTGTCTAGGTTTTGCGAACGCGATGAAGCTGACTCGCCGCGACTTGGTTGTCGGTTGTTACCATTTTCGTTTATGGATACACTTGATAGTCCGTCGGGGACCGTCGGAACCGGCTCGTGTCTGATCGCGGTCGCCCGAGTGCGTGGACTATTATGTGGGCTTGTTACCATTTTTTGTTTTGCTTACTCACTTCTCACTCGTTAGTAACCGTTTTGGTTACCGGCTACCAACTACTTGAAAAGTCATTCTCCTTGTATAATTTTAAAGAAAAAAGAGGATAGCATAGAAAATGGAAGACAAACACCTATTTTAGATAATTTTAAAAAGGAATAAAAAAAGTAGATCAATATTTTAAATTAAGTTGGTATAGTGGAAACTCTTGGTTATGTAGTTGCAACAAGAACAGATTGTATTGTTGGCGAGTCTTCTGTTTTCTACAGAAAAAAAATGGGTAGACCAGCAGCGGTGTCAACGGTTTAAATAGTTTTAGAGTTCTACAGAGGAGACATGAAATTTCTCCGTTACATGTGAGATATGTAGCCAATTTGATTCAGTTTGGGAAAACAAGAATTGAAAGTTGTCTCTTTTAGGCAGCAACTTATAGATGCCTTATGTTTTTTGGCCAAACAAGAATTACCATTTCGGGGTCATTTTGAAGGGAAATTACAAGGTTAACATTAACTGTCAAAAAAGATCAAAAAATCTAGAAACGTAAACTGTTTTCCTGGAAGGCTTAGATTAGTCATAGCATAAGACGATGAGGTATATTAAGTGCCCCAGACGCTTAGTCCAGCAAAGTTTACCTTAATTCAAAAAAAGTTTAAATAAAATACCTTATATTTGGGAGGTTCAAAATAAACTTTTTTTAATAAGATTTTTCACACCTGGTTTTAGTAACAGCTTAGACGAAGTCACGCGTCGCCACTACCAGATTTATGAATTCACCGACAGCACTTTTCTCGTGACACATTTCCTGCAATTTCGTCACTTCATTTTGCTGTTATGTTATAGTCAAAATCACGAAAGATGACTATTACCTCATACCATAAATTTTACTGAAGTAATCAATGGACGTACGTTGATGATAAAATCACGATTTCAGGAACATAATGACAACAAATTTATATATTATGATTTTGCGAAGTTAGGTTATTTCACTGATAATTTTTATTTTCATTTTATTTCATGGTTTTGAGTGTTACCTTGATAATAATTTTTATGGGGAGTTTTTGTCTTGAAAAAAAACAGTTATGAGTAGAATACCTTAAGACAGGAACACCAAAGACTAAGTATTATTCGAAAATAACCTAACCTACTTTAACATAACCTAACTATTCATCTTTCAAATATGATCGATCATGCAACATGAAAACATCGTCTACCCTTGTCGGATACATGCAAATTAGCAATACAGTTTGTTTAGACAATTAAATTCTGTTTGTTTCTGTCTAACATATCAGAAACTTCATTAAAAATATTCATAAATCGCTGTCGTTTGTCTTTACTACAGACTAAAATGATGACGTAATCGTTTCGTGATTTCGACTATACTTACAATACCTCGACGACCAGCTTTACAATTACGAACAAGAGATATTTGCATTCTAGGACTGATCTTACGTAGCCTACCAACACCGTGTCTTGAAACTTGAGTTGAACCTGTGTCTCCATATTTTTTTATAATATCTACCACCATAGACTTTGCGACATTTATTTGTTTAGCAACATCCCGAAAACACTTTTTTGTTTCCATGGCATGCTACTCGTATTATTTTCTTCCTAATATCGTGACCGAACATTTATGTGTCAGCAAAATGTTGCGTTGTAATCAATATTAGTTTGATTTTATATTTCAATATCATATTATTTGAACAGTTTTATTAATATGATGTGCAAACAATATACTCGTATTTCATTGTCTTATAAAAGAAAAACAATTAATTTTCACTTTACAAAAACAAACAAACTTTTAGATAAAATTAGATAATGTCCGAACATTTTTGTGTTAGGCTCGTAGTAACTTTGTCATCATCAACATCCGAGCGGTACTTCTCAAGTTATAGTTTTTCGTGATGTACATGTTATACACGGTGTTTCAGTTTATTGTTGCATAACTTTAAGATTCGATAGAACTTTCAAAATTAATGCATAAAGTCTATATAAACATGGGTCGAAAAATGCGTGGCTTCCGAAATACAGGGTGTTTAAATTTACTTACTAAAATAGTTTTTTTTAAATAGTTCGAACAATATTTGATGTATAACAGTGAAAATTGGTGTACAAGGGTTTTTTGGTACGATAAAACGAACCATGGGCATAGTTTTACTGTAGCGCCGCTAGAGGGCGCTCTCTACTGTACCTGTAGTGTATTAAAATGACCGAAAAATTTTTCTTGTGCAATTTTTTGCTTTTTGAATAAAAAAACTGATTCTTCGCACTTTTCAACATAAAAAAGCTCTCTTGTGAATTTTCGTTATAGTTAGCCGTTTTTGAGATATTTCGATTTTTAGGGTTCGATGCATTTTTAATTATTTATGATAAAATAACGTTAAAAAGTCAATATCTCGATAATTTTTAGAAGTAGGCCGTGCCTGCAAATATTTTTGAAATTGAAAGCAGAATAAGGTTAAACGTCAATTAGTTGACAGTTAGTTTTGTTGTCTGTTGAAACCTGAAACGTTTTTTTGCAATTGTGAATGCACGAAATTTAGTTTCTTTTACCTGTTTTTTTTTAAGTTTTATAAAAATGCCATTTTTATTCTCCAATCAAGAGTTAGCGGATATTCATTTTGTGTATGGCTTTGTCAATGGAAACGCAGTAGAAGCAGCCAGAGAATACGCACGAAAATTTCCAAACAGACGAAATCCAACTCGCTCGGTATTTGTAAGAGTGCATCGCCAAATAATTGAAAATGGTTTTGTAAATCTCCAAAGGGATCAAAACATAAATGTTCGTCAGCGCAGATTTACCCGTATGATTCTGCGTGAGTTTGATAGAGGTCCGACCACAAGTGTTAGGAGAGTTTCTGGTGCCTTGGGAATTTCAGCAAGCTATGTTCACCATGTTCTTAGAAATGACCATAGACGTCCTTACCATTTGCAACCTGTGCAAGGACTACAGCCAGGGGATGGAGAACGAAGAATCACATTTTCTCAGTGGATTCTTGATAGAACTGATAAATAATAATAGGGAGTTTTTAAGTAACGTTTTATGGACCGATGAGCCATGCTTCACTAGACGTGGAGTGGTAAATTTTCATAATCAACATATTTGGTCGCATGAAAATCCGCATGCAGTACGGGAAAGAAATTTTCAGCATGAATTTAGTGTGAACGTGTGGATTGGTATCTACCGTAATCGACTATTTGGACCCTACCTTTTGCCTGCAAGGTTAAATGCTGCGACCTTCTTGGAATTTTTAAAGGCTGAACATGCAAATATGTTATGTTAGATTTAAGAAGATTGGCCTGGTTCCAGCTTGACGGTTGTCCAGCTCATTATTCGAGAATAGTTAGAAACTGGCTGGACGAAAATTATCCAGAAAGATGGATCGGCCGTGGAGGACCAGCCGCCTGGCCTCCACGATCCCCTGACCTAAATCCATTAGATTTCTTTGTGTGGGGATTTCTAAAAGAAAAAGTGTACCAGACTCCCGTAACCACAAGAGATATGCTAATAGACAGAATCAGGAATGCATGTGATGAAATAAGGCCTTATTTGAATAATGCTATACCACGTTCGATCATTCGTAGATGTGAATTGTGTATTGAACAATTGGGTTTACATTTCGAGCAACTACTTTAGATTTTGTATGTTTGTCCTAACTATCCAATAGCATTTTAGTTGTAAATAATTAATTTAATTTGTTAAAAATAATATTGGAAAATTAAACAAATTAATATTCTGTTTTTTGTGTTTATTTGTAGTTAGGAATTATTGCTGTGTTTAAAAACACAATCTAAACGATCATCTTAATTACTTGTAATGCCCAAATCGAAAATGTAAAAAAAAATATTATTTTCCCATAAATACTTAAAAATGCATCGAACCTTAAAAATCGAAATATCTCAAAAACGGCTAACTATAACGAAAACTCACACAGGAGAGCTTTTTTATGTTGAAAAGTGCGAAGAATCAGTTTTTTTATTCAAAAAGCAAAAAATTGCACTAAGAAAAAAATTTCGGTCATTTTAATACACTACAGGTACAGTAGAGAGCGCCCTCTAGCGGTTACAGTAAAACTATGCCCATGGTTCGTTTTGTCGTACCAAAAAACCCTTGTATACCAATTTTCACTGTTATGCATCAAATATTGTTCGAAATATTTAAAAAAAACTATTTTAGAAAGTAAATTTAAACACCCTGTATTTCGGAAGCCACGCATTTTACGACCCATGTTTATATAGACTTTATGCATTAATTTTAAAAGTTCTATCGAATCTTAAAGTTATGCAACAATAAACTGAAACACCCTGTATAACATAATATCTCAATTTGGGAATTACGCAATTACAATACTTCCTTGTCAGTTTTGGCAGGCGAAGTAAAACATCGGACCTTGTCAAAGTGCAAGCTTTAGGCACGACAAATAGTCTCATAAGATTTATTTCTAGGAGACCTGCGAGGCGGCCGAGTTCCTAGAACTCCCCCAACTCTTAGTCCTGCTGACCAAGCACCCGTTCATCGCTCCCGACTCGCCGCGTGGGGACGCAGGTGCAACAGGTGATCGCACCACCTCCTACGATGTCTGGCTGTGCCGCAGGCTGCAGGACGTCTGCCTGGAGCAAGCACTCTTCCCTGACGTTGTTTTCGAGCTGGACGACGGCGCATGCGCGGCGCACAAGGCGATGCTCGCGGCGCGGTGTGACGTCATGAAGGCTATGTTCAGCGGGGACTTCCGCGAGAGTCAGGCCAAGGTGGTAAGTATCGCGGTTGGAAGGATTTTGAAGTATTCAGGGTCTCTCAAAAAATAGGAAATACAGCAGACGCTCGATAATGTAAACTAATTTAATCCAAGTGTGGTTCACATTATCGAAATGTTTAGATTAGCGAACGTGATTTATATAATATTTGATTTATTAAAAGAAACGTTTAATACATACTATTTTTATAAACAAATATTCTAACAGCGATGAGTATTTTTTTTAATTAGAAGAAAAATAATTAACAATTTTTGTCAGCGTAAATTTGCGCTTAGCATTATCTTCCAATGCCTGCGCCCGTAATTTACGAAGAACTAAAATATCCGTGTATGAAACTTCTTTTCTTTCAGCCCAATCTAAAGCTTGGTTAAAAACTTGTATAGCTTGCGCGTCAGTCACTACACATATGACTTCAATGGGATCGTTCTCATCATCCTCACTGTCCATATCCTCCTCCTTATCAGCATCATTCGTCTGCTTATCTTCGTTCCATAAATTAATATCAGCAGGAGTACAAACAATGTTGGGATTCACTGTTTTCAATAAATCAACAACATCCAATGACACACTAATAACATTATCATTATTGGATCGCAAACGTTCTCTAATTACGCTTAACACCCTACTGAGCGAGGGCCGTGGCAAATGCTTGTTCCGGAAGTTGTTGTATCCAGTATACAACTTCTTCCCGTCCAAGTGATTGTGCACGCGTTAAGGAATACCTCAGTACCGATTGCCGGGTGGCGGTACAAGTCCGCCAACGGGCCACTTTAGGTCTATTTAACATCACTAACACGTAAAAAGAAGGTGGTAGACAAGGACCAGTCGACCGAGGCAGTACCACCCGCTAGCTTTTCCCAGGGTGTCTTATAAATGTCCGCATGTTTCCACACCCAAGCTATGCAGTCGGTTATCTACCAAAACAAAGAAATTAATGATGATGGATCCCTCGAGCACTAAAAACTCCGGACGTAAACTCACTCCACTCTCGGAATGTCTGGGTGGAGGGTGGGCTCGAGGGAACAACATCGAAGATAAAATTTGTTCGAACATCTGCGGGATCAACAGCAACATTGACGCTGTTCATCACTACCTGCAATCCAATCGTCCCGCCGTGCTTTTCTTGGCGGAGACAAAAATCTCAGAGACTGCACCGATTAACCATCTCAACTTCCCAAACTACGAGGTGCACTCCAATCTGAGAAAGAACGGGGGAGTTGTGGATTTGTCCGCAGCAGCCTTTCCTGCTCCAGGGATCTTTCTTTGGAATCAAACCGGAAGGACATTCTGTGGCTTCGCCTCAACTCCAAAACATCACCCAAATTTATTTGCTGCCTTTATCGCTCTCCCTCGAACCATAACTGGGATGACCTACTCGAATACCTCGCCGTCCAGATCGACTTCCAATCACCCCGCTTCAGAGGTAGTTCTTCTCGGTGATTTCAATGCCCATAATGAGCTTTGGTTGGGCTCAAATAAGACCGATGCAGCAGGTCGTGCAGTCGAAGCGTTCGCTCTTACTCAAGGCCTGACCCAGCTGGTGACGAGCCCTACTTTTTTCCCCCGCGTCTCGTCACACGCCAGTAGCCTGCTGGATCTCTTTTTGACCACGCATCCTGCCCCTTACAGCACTGCTGTCCTGTCCCCCCTGGGTAACTCCGATCACGGTGTTGTGGAGGTTAGGTTTCGGTCAGAAGCCGCTGGGGCAGCAGAAACTCGCACAGGCCGCAAAACTTGGCATTACGGACATGCCGACTGGGAGGGGCTCAGAGACTTCTTCTCTAGCTTTCCTTGGAGAGATGTCTGTCTCACTGGCGCGGATGCGTCGACTGTCTGTTCTTCAATAACCGAAATTATCCACGTCGGAATGGAGGAATACATCCCTCACACAGTGAAAGTTCCTAAACCAGGGCCCAACGGCTGGTTTAACAAATCGTGTGACACTGCTCGCCAGCAGAAGATCAAGGCCCACAGAACCTACTTACAAAACCCCACTGTAGCGAACAGACAAGCCGACGTCGAGTCCAGAAACAAATATAACGAAGCGGTTCGCAATGCCAAAAACCAGCATGATATAAAAGTTAGGCACAGGGTAATGTCGCAGCGCAATGGCAGTCGGTCTTTCTGGACGCTGGCCAAGCAGATTGAAAAGAACTTCTCACACAGTAGCCTTCCACCACTTACGTGTCAGGATGGAACTATTGTATTCGACTCAAAGGCCAAGGCGGAAGTGCTAGCCAAGATCTTTGCTGCCAACTCCACCATGGACGTCCCCACCAACGCCCAAGTGCCGTCAATCCAAAGGGTTCCCCACACTATGCGGGAGGTAACATTCAGGCATAAGACCGTAAGACGAGTGCTCTTGTCGCTCGACATCAACAAAGCTTCTGGTCCGGACTTGATTCCTGCCATTGTACTGAAGAGATGTGCAGCGGAGCTTGCTCCAGTTCTTTCGCGTCTCTTCCAGATATCTTATGAATCCGGCACCTTCCCAGAAAACTGGAAATTTGCTCATGTACAGCCCATCCCAAAAAAAGGATCTAAAACCGACCCTTACAACTACAGGCCTATAGCTTTGCTTTCTGTTATAAGTAAAGTGATGGAGAGGTGCATAAATCGCGAGCTTCTAGACTACCTCGAACATCACAGCTTGATTAGCGACAGGCAGTACGGTTTCCGGCACCAACGATCCATAGGGGACCTCCTAACTTACGTCACGCAACTGTGGAGTAAACTCATCCAGTCTCATGGTGAGGCTCATGTCGTTGCTCTTGACATCACGAAAGCGTTCGATCAGCTGTGGCACGCTGCCCTCTTAAGCAAACTTCCATCCTACGGCCCCCAGAAAAGCTTTGCAGATGGGTGGCTGACTTTATCTCTGACCGCAAGATATCCGTCGTAATCGACGGATTTTCCTCTCCATCCCACAACGTCAACGCGGGTGTTCCCCAGGGATCGGTCTTGGCTCCAACACTGTTTGTCTTACATATCAACGACCTCCTTTCCTGCACGATCAACCCAATCCACAGCTTCGCTGATGACAGCACTCTACATGCAGGAATGCAGAGTGACAAGCCGATATCTGCCGCTGAGCTGGAAAAAAGAAGACTAGCGACGACTTCTTCTCTAACAAGAGACCTGGAGGCTATCACTGCTTGGGGACGCAACAATCTTGTACAGTTCAATGCTTCCAAAACCCAGTACTGTACTTTGACGAACAAAAAGCGTCCTAGCGCTCATACAGTTCCGATGGACGGTCAAGTTCTACCAAAGAACCATTCATTTCGGCTGGTCGGAGTCCAGATCACCGAGGACCTGATCTGGCACGAACACATCTCTTCAATAGCTGCAGCTGCTGGGAAAAAGCTAGGCTATTTGTTTAGGGCTAAGAAGTACTTTTCTCCGCATGACCTTCTCACTCTATACAAGGCCCAGATAAGGCCTAGCCTCGAGTATTGCTCACACATTTGGGGTGCTGCCGCCCCGACTACATTGTCCATGCTCGATGCTGTCCAGAGGAGGGCGGTCCGACTGATCGATGACTCTTCTCTAACAGACAGTCTCGGGGCTCTTTCGCACCGGCGGGCCGTCGGCGATCTAGCTCTTTTCTATCGCTACACCAACGGGCTTTGCTCCTCAGAGCTCTCTTCCATGATGCCGCCGCGCGACATGCCTGCCAGACAGACCCGCCTGACTTCGGCGTCCCATCCTAACCGTGTCAAACTTCGTACATCCAGAACTGGCCGATACGACCGCTCCTTTGTCCTACGGGATGAAGCTTTTCCCAGTTCTACTAACCTTAGGCAGTTCAAAAATCGTATTAACAAAATTTCTTTGGGATCATCATAGCAGCCGCGGTGTTCCGGCATTTAGGCTTCTGCCTGCGCGGCTGTTTCGGTATAAAAAAAAAGGGAACATCGTCTTCTTCATCATCTTCATTATTGGTACAAAAGAGATTGTTCCAACATTTTTGAATAGTTTGCTGGTTAAATTAATTCCAGGCCATATGTAAATCTAAAACAGCTTCTCGTAATGTTACTTTTTTTAAAGCCTCAGATGAGTTTTCAGGATTCTTTGATAAGAGAGACGAAAGTAGAAACTTCCTATAGTATAGTTTGGTGAGTCTTATTATATTTTGGTCCATTGGTTGAATTAACGGTGTTGCGTTGGGCGGCATGTACATAACGAAAATTGACCCATCCCTGCTCCTCAGTTGTTGCTCGGGAGGATTATCCAATAGTAACAACGCTTTTATTGGAAGCTTCTGTTATTTTAGGAAACCTTTTACCTACAAATTGAAAACACATCTTCAAATTATGAATACAGCATTTGTGATAATTGATTGTCATACCTGAGGGACAAAGCACCTGTGGAACCATTTCAGGAATATACTGCTAGTCATCCAAGCGGTTTTTGAACAGTCATAATCAACAGGGATATTAACATTTTTAAATGAACGCGGATTTTTTGCTTTCCCAATTACCAGTGGCTTTATTTTGTGTGAACCATTAGCATTAGTGCAGGCTAAAAACGTTATTCGTTGTTTCTCCGGCTTTCTTCCCGGGGCAGATTTTTCAAATGATGCAGCATAGGTTTTCTCTGGTAAAATTTTCCAATAAAGGCCACTTTCATCTGCGTTGTAAATTTGTTCCATTCTTAAATCTAGCTCGGTAATTGTTTTCATCAATTTTTCTTTGAATGGTTGCACTAATTGTGGTTGTGCTGATAATTTTTCACCAGATATAGACAGCAGTCGAATTCCATATCTTGTTTTGAATCGTTGTAGCCAGCCATCACTAGCTACGAAATTTTCAGTTTCTTTCAGTTTTTCATTTAACAGTCTCGCTCTCTGTTTAAGTACTTCGCCACTAACTGGCACATGATTTTCCCGTTGTTTTAAAAATCACGTATACAGGGAATTTTCCATTTTAGGTGCCTTCGCATTTTTTAAAGTTTTCCTTTTTCCCGGACCTCCAAATGTATTGCACGTTCTTTGTAAAATTTGAGTTTTCATACGCTTAATTTTACAGATTTTTGCTTTCGATACTCCATATTTTTTTGCTAACTGTGTCACTCCCGCACCTAGTGCAACTTCGTCTATGATTTTAACTTTCTCACTCAACTTTAAACACTTTCTTTTATAGGATGTGGATGCCATAGTCGTAAAATATATTAACGCGTGCAATGTATTCACTTAAGTTCAAAAATGACATACGTACGTATAAACGTATCCTAAACGATCATACGACTGACCGAGTTTGTCGTATTTTATCGCAGAGGTGAATCCCCTACACTCTACATCATAAATCGGGGACTCCCCGACGCCCGACATAAATCATCGAGGCTTCAGTATTTTACCGTCGCGCTGTTTCCGTGCGCCGAGAGTTGTTTATGTTATCGCGCGTTCCGTTTGATCCTACAGAACGAAGTTTGTGTTTACATTAGCGCAAGTTTTCATTATCCCGTGTTTACGTTATCGAGCGTCTGCTGTAAGTTCACAAAGAAACACGGAACATTCTTATTCACGAAATCGAAAAATATCTTCAGTTCAGTTGATAAGAATTTTGTACATGTAGTATCAAGCAATATAACCACCGAATAATCTAATTACTTGGAATAATTAAAAACTATGTTACGGGTAATGAAAATTTTATAGCACAACTATTTAATTGACCACGTTTTGTCTGAGTACAAAAATAGAAAGAGATAATAATTCTTCCAAACTTTAACCAACATAATGGGTGTGTTAAATTCAATAATTCTAGATCGAGTTCCCTGGCGTTCGAGAATACACTTTCCACAAGCTGCTGTGCTTCCTGTACACAGACGAGGTACCGGCCGTATCAGCAGTCAGATGCGTCAATCTATTAGAATTAGCCAACAGACTGTGTCTGCCCAGACTTGTGAATCTGGTCGAGAAAAGGGTCATCGAGGATTTGGAAAGGCTACAGCCACAGGAGGCCATCGAACAGTGTTTGAGGCTACTGGAGCCTGTTAAGGTAAGTTCGGACAGATATTGACAGTGCACGGGTTGTTGGAGAAAGTATATATAATAATAATAATAAACCGTCTTTTATTAGAAAAAAAACAAATTACAGATAATTCATATATTATTATCTATAATTAGATTAGTGAGCAGCTAATGGCGGAGTTTAGCTATGGCAGCTATTCTTACACTTAACCATTAACTGCATAAGAATATAGATGGTAAAAAAGTACAGCTGTAAAGAAAATAATAATGAAAATAAATGGAGGAAAATACCCATGTAACTGATTACAAACTAAATAAAAATTAGCTTAAAAATATAATGCTGGAGAAAACCACCTTTAAGAATCACCATTGAGCAGAAGAGCTCTTAAGTGCTTTTTAAAACTATACAGCGGCAGGCTTTTTGTTCTGTAATCTAAGGTATTGTACAATATACATGCATTATATGAGAAGGACCTGTTAAAAACAAATGAACTATGACGTGGCATTGTTAAAGCTAATGTGTTACGGATATGTCGTTGATGGACATTAGACCTAAAAATTAGTTTTTCACGTAGATAAGTTGGAGTTCCAGAGACAAGTAACTTATGTATAAAGGTTAGATAGTTGTATTTAACTAAATCTGTCATCTTTAACCAACCTATTAAAGGATAACGATCCGAAACATGATCAAATTTTCTTAAACTAAATATGAATCGTACGCAGTTATTTTGTACTACAGATATTCTGTTACGACTTGCAACATCCAAACAAGGATGATAAACTAGATTGCAATAATTGAAAATAGGTAACACAAAAGATTCACACAACTTTTTTCGCACTTTAAAATTCAGCAAATTTTTGTTCGCATACAGAGTTCTCAGACGGACTTTGTAAGAGGTTATTTAAATGTTCACGAAGCCGCACGTTTTCATCAATAAACACACCTAGACACTTGACACTTTCAGAAAAAGGAAGATTTTGATTGTTAATAGATATACTCAAGGAAGCTTTGACTTCGGCTCTTCTGTGATTTGGACAAAACAGCACAGCAAAAGATTTGGAAGCATTAACGGTTAGGCTGTTATTGGCTGAGTAGGTGCAAATAGAGTCAATGTCCTCGTTTATTTCCATAGTAGCAGTCTGGAGGTTCTCAGGATAAATGAAGTAAAGCAGTTGAGTGTCATCCGCATAAGACTGTAGCTGTGAATTTTGAATGGACTTGGCAATATCGGCTACATAAATTAAAAATAACAAGGGTCCTAATATTGAGGCCTGAGGCACACCCGAAGTGATAAAGTGCTCATTTGACAAAACTCCAGAAACTGAGACGCGCTGAGAACGGTGGGTTGGGTATGATTTAAAAAACTGCAGTGCTATTTTATCACAACCATAAAAGTTTAGCTTAGCGCACATCAGTGCGTGATCAATTCTATCCGCTCAAAAAACTAAAACAAAGTCATAACTGCTTTACACGATCTAATGAATTGAACAATTTTTTAACCTTGAAGAAGCTCGACCGTGTAAACATAAAAATTGTTGTCAATTTCTCCACAGGAATAAATTCATTAATAAATTTCCAGGTTGTTCTAATTTTCCGTTAATTTTTTGGAGAATCCTAGTAACTTTTGGTTGTTTTTCCTAGATACTAACCTACGTTATTTGACGCCGTCACGTTATGTGATTTGAGATTAAAATTATATCTAATCCTTACAGTTTGGTTCGGCGCTTTGGTTTTAATTTAGGCTTTAATATTTCAACAGAGACAATCAATATAAAAGCTTACCCTATTTTACAAATATCCGTTTTGACTGAGGTGAACATCTGATCAGCAAGTGACATTTTTGTGTTAGTCTGCAATGGAGTAGTCTACAGTATATTCAGATAAGAGATAGACCGGACATAAACAAGACCACGTGATCATCGAACGCTGTAACATTCGGCAGGGACGTATTAAGAGTCACGCAGTACATATTTTAGATAGTAGATGCTGCTTTGCGTAACTTTGTAGTAAATTAGCACAATTCGATGTGTATACGATTGGTGATGGATATAGGATCATGTGGGGGTGGGGTAAGAAATATATAATGATGTAAATATACATAAGGGTTTCAAAATTTTCGCTTCGATTTCCAGCTTCGGATGCCGTCTGATGTTTGGTGAAATACAGTCGAATATAATCTCAAAATGGCGTTTAAATTAGCCTATAATTATAACAAGGTATAACAATAACAACGACAAACTCAACAACTTAATAAGATAACAAACGAAAACGTCCAAAGAAATATCAAATTGCAATGATGCACACGACATACGTAACACGTCTGAACCTGAATGTGACTCTGCCTTGATACGACTGCTCTGCCGCTCGGCATAGGCATTTAATTGCGAATTGACCAATGAGGGCTCCTGTTTTACGTCGAGACGGCGGCCTTAGCGTGAAAATCACCCGAACCTTTTGTTTACATCCGGTCTATCTCTTATCTGAATATACTGTATATTATCTAGTCTTTTTCACGAGTATCCATTACGCTAGAATGACAGCTGATTATCTAGTAATATTTCAAAATTTCCCATATTGGCAAAGGACACATAATTCTGACGGATCCGTCAATGCCAGGTAGACAGAGCCATATTTTGTTTTGGTTTTTTGTACGCTACAGATTCATTTTATACTTGCTGAAGGCTCTTTTATTTATAAAAGTTCATTTGCATACAAAAAACAAAAAGCTACAAACAAGTTTTACTACATTTACACGCGATTCGTTATTGCCAACGTTGCAGACTAATGTGGGTCTCACATGACGCTTCCAACGTTGTGTACAACGTTGTTTACAACGTTAGCAAAAAGAACATTGATAACAAAAAAAAAAATTTCCAGTTATCTACTTAGCCTGTATCCCAGGTTAAAGTGAATTCATATCACAAATAGTCAGGAACCCAGTTTCATACAAAAGTAAGACATATACCGAAGTACAACAATAAATGATCCCAGATTTTGAATATTATTGACGACACGACAGACAGTACAGGTAGTAGTACATTCTGATCGTAATTTTCATCATTTCACACTTTTGAAGAAATTATCCGAGATTTACCGTCCAGGATCCTGGACTTGTTTTTCTGTTTATATTTAAGTATACAGGGTGTTTCAGTTTATTGTTGCATAACTTTAAGATTCGATAGAACTTTTAAAATTAATGCATAAAGTCTATATAAACATTGGTTGAAAAATGCGTGGCTTCCGAAATACAGGGTGTTTAAATTTACTTTCTAAAATAGTTTTTTTTTTAATATTTCGAACAATATTTGATGTATAACAGTGAAAATTGGTATACAAGGGTTTTTTGGTACGACAAAACGAACCATGGGCATAGTTTTACTGTAGCCGCTAGAGGGCGCTCTCTACTGTACCTGTAGTGTATTAAAATGACCGAAAAATTTTTCTTAGTGCAATTTTTTGCTTTTTGAATAAAAAAACTGATTCTTCGCGCTTTTCAACATAAAAAAGCTCTCTTGTGAATTTTCGTTATAGTTAGCCGTTTTTGACATATTTCGATTTTTAAGGTTCGATGCATTTTTATGATAAAATAACGTTAAAAAGTCAGTATCTCGATAATTTTTAGCAGTAGGCTGTGCCTGCAAATATTTTTGTAATTGAAAGCAGAATAAGGTTAAACGTCAATTAGTTGACAGTTAGTTTTGTTGTCGTTGAAACCTGAAACGTTTTTTGCAATTGTGAATGCACGAAATTTAGTTTCTTTTACCTGTTTTTTTTTGTGAGTTTTATAAAAATGCCATTTTTATTCTCCAATCAAGAGTTAGCGGATATTCATTTTGTGTATGGCTTTGTAAATGGAAACGCAGCAGAGAATACGCACGAAGATTTCCAAACAGACGACATCCAACTCGCTCAGTATTTGTAAGAGTGCATCGCCAAATAATTGAAAATGGTTTTGGAAATCTCCAAAGGGATCAAAACATAAATGTTCGTCAGCGCAGATTTACCCGTATGATTCTGCGTAAGTTTGATAGAGATCCGACCACAAGTGTTAGGAGAGTTTCTGGTGCCTTGGGAATTTCAGCAAGCCATGTTCACCGTGTTTGTTAGAAATGACCATAGACGTCCTTACACATTTTGTCAGCGGATTCTTGATAGAACTGATAATGATAGGGAGTTTTTAAGTAACGTTTTATGGACCGATGAGTCATGCTTCACTAGACGTGGAGTGGTAAATTTTCATAATCAACATATTTGGTCGCATGAAAATCCGCATGCAGTTCGAGAAAGAAATTTTCAGCATGAATTTAGTGTGAACGTGTGGATTGTTATCTACCGTAATCGACTATTCGGACCCTACCTTTTGCCTGCAAGGTTAAATGCTGCGAACTTCTTGGAATTTTTAAAGGCTGAACATGCAAATATGTGGGATGATGTTATGTTAGATTTAAGAAGATTGGCCTGGTTCCAGCTTGATGGTTGTCCAGCTCATTATTCGAGAATAGTTAGAAACTGGCTGGACGAAAATTATCCAGAAAGATGGATCGGCCGTGGAGGACCAGTCGCCTGGCCTCCACGATCCCCTGACCTAAATCCGTTAGATTTCTTTGTGTGGGGATTTCTAAAAAAAAAGTGTACCAGACTCCCGTAACCACAATAGATATGCTAATAGAAAGAATCAGGAATGCATGTGATGAAATAAGTCCTTATTTGAATAATGCTATACCACGTTCGATCATTCGTAGATGTGAATTGTGTATTGAACAATTGGGTTTACATTTCGAGCAACTACTTTAGGTTTTATATGTTTGTCCTAACTATCCAATAGCATTTTAGTTGTAAATAATTAATTTAATTTGTTAAAAATAATATTGGGAAATTAAACAAATTAATATTCTGTTTTTTGTGTTTATTTGTAGTTAGGAATTATTGCTGTGTTTAAAAACACAATCTAAACGATCATCTTAATTACTTGTAATGCCCAAATCGAAAATGTAAAAAAAATATTATTTTCCCATAAATAATTAAAA